GCAGTGCCTGGGCCCTCGGTGCCGCAGCCCGCTCCCGGGCAGCCCTCGCCTATCCTGCAGCTGCAGCAGAAGCAGAGCCGGATCAGCCCCATTCAGAAACCGCAAGGCCTGGACCCCGTGGAGATTCTGCAGGAGCGGGAATATAGGTAATGCACCCCGGCCCTGGGGGGTTCTTGCGAGTCTCACCGAGCCTGGGGGTGGATGCAGTCTCCCAGGGCTTTCGTTGCTCCTCTCTGTGGTTGAGGGAAAGACCCAAGGATGATGGCAGAGGCCAAAACTCATGCGATGGGAATGATTTCAGCACAGTGGGGTGGGGAGGTGGTTGTGGCGGGGGGCTCTCTGATGGCTCTGGGTTGGCAGCTCTGTGATTTTCACTCATTTAATCAGGACACCTTTATCCACCCCTGTGAGTGGTCAGGCACTGTGTTAGGTGCTGGGGATGTGAACCTAAGTGGTTGTCTCACACAGATTATGGGGTGCCTGATCTAGTTTGCCAGCTTGTCCTTGATTGGTGACTGCAAGTTGGTCAGATGTTGAGTGTTTTGTGTTGGCCTGACCTTCATGATACTAAAGTACACTTTGGTAGGTATACTATATATTTCGTTTAAATTCATGCATTATTTAGGTGTATGCCTTTTTAGTGTATGTGCCACTGAAGCGAGCACTTGGTCTATGCCTTGGTCCAACGTTAGGAGTAAGCCCTATGTAAGTGCCTTCATATGGGGTCCTTTAAACTCTTCCTCCAGACACATAATTTTCACCTGATTTGGCACATTTATCTAAATCAGGAGTTGGCAAACCTTCTCGGTCAAGGTCCAGGTAGTAAATATTTTACACTTTGCAGGGCCGTATGATCTCTTTGACAACTACTCATCTCTGCCTTTGAGTGAGAAAGCAGCCCAGATGATAAGGGGCTGACTGTGTTCAAAAAAACTTTATTTACAAAAAGAGGGTATGGGCAGGATTGGCCCACAGGCCGTGGTTAGCCGACCCCTCGTGTACATGGTTAATGTTAACCAAAAGGGAGACCAGCAAGTACTGAGTCAAATGAAAGCAAAGCTCAGATCATGTTTCCGGAGTTAGCAGAAATCATGGTCGTCGCTTTCTAGCTGTGCTGCCTTGGTCTAGTTCCATCTCTTTCCTGCGACTTAATTTCCTCATTTGTTAAAAGAGGATCTTCGAGTATTTCTTGTGGGAGGAGATAAAATGACACAAAGACGTTTAATACATATTAGCTATTAGTATTATTTCCCCAAAATGATTTAATTGAACAGAAAATTAGAGTTTAAAAATTACAGAGAATGTTAGTAACAATGTAATAGGCTCCCTTTTCAAACATTACCTTAAACTTTATTGAAAAACGCATGATATATTCATTACTAGATTAAAATACTAAGCTATCAGCTTTGAGAGTTAGTTATCCTGAAAGAAACCACAGTAACTTGTCGTTAAATGTGTGCAGTTGTGTTTTTTTTGTTTGTTTTTTTATGAAGAGTGTAACTGTAGTCTCATTACTATTGCTAATCCTCAATTAAGAGCTTTTATGTTGCTGTTTCCAGCATTTCATGTATCCCTGGGGAGCTAGATGCTCATCATCTGTAGCTATTTCAGTGTTCATAGGCTGGTTTTGTTGGGTGAATAATTGCTGTGTATTATAAAGTCAAATATTAGCAAATATTTCCTGGACAGAAAAACTATATTTATATACAATCCTTTATGTTGCTATAAAAAATCAAAAGCAATTTTTAAAAGACAGTAAATGGGATAGAGAGTATCATTTACTCTAAAATTCTGACTTCCTAAGAGTGAACATTTTTTTCCCTACCCTGAAGGCACAAACCTACCAGTACCTTTGTTAAGTCATGTGAATTACCTTCATAACATCAGAGATACTCTCTGTATCTAGAATTGCATCTGTATTTTTTTTCTTTATTCAACCTGTGGTGTGTGTGTGTGTGTGTTTTACTGGCTTCTAATTTTTCTTTCATTTTCACCAGGATTTTAATTACAGACCTTTCTTGTACTGAGCTCATTTTTGCACCTTTTTTGGAAGTGATCTTAATAGGTGGAAGTGATCTTAATAGGTATCCAGCATTAAGAGTACTATTTAGCCTATTCCAATATTAGAAAAGCTTTTGTCCTTCACGCCTATAGTTATAAAAAAAATAATGTATCTGTCAGTATCTCTTAAACTATATGCCTTGTAGAGTGTGGTGGAATGGCTGTTTTTCATAGTATTATGACTTGACAAATGTCTCCTTGTTTGTGAGGCTGCATGGCTTTTGAAATGATTGATCTGGCAGCACTGGGTCCAAACAGTGGGAGGGGCCTTTGGACTGAGTTTCCCATGGCCATCCTGAGGGGCACAGGTTTGCACCTGCCACATCGCAGGGGCATGTTCTAGCTTCTTTATAGAACAACAGCTGGTTTCTGCCGATACAAAGATAAATTGTTCACCTGCCGAGATTAGTGAAATTTTTCTCTTAAAAAGGGTAGATTAAGACCCTTGGGCCCTTGTAAAGACGGCTTGGAGGCGTTTCCACTTGCCCCTCTTGGAGAGAATGGCCTGCTTAGCCTGTAGCATTGGTAACTGGAAGGGCCCAGTGTACTTGTACCTTCTGATCAAGGATTTGAGCAAGGTCTTAAAAAAATCCATTGTAGCCCTAGGCGGTTTCTCAGTGGTTAGAGCATCGGTTCTCAGACTGAGGGGTCCTGGGTTCGATTCCAGGCAAGGGAACGTACCTCGGTTGCAGGATCTCAGTTGTAGGACCTCGGTTGCAGGCTCAATCCCTGACCCTGGTCAGGTCCTTGGGAGGCAACCACTCAATATATCTCTCTCACATCAATGTTTCTCTCTCCCACTCTCTCTAAAAATCAATGGGGAAAAAAAATCCTTGGATGAGGATTAACAAACAAAAAATCTCTTTTACAATTTTATAAACTTTAGTGTGAGCAGAGTCATCTGTCAAAAATTCTTTAACAGATGTTCATTCCTTTGACCGTTATATATCACTTATCTTGTCTATGAAAATTGAAAGGAAATTGTCAGAATCTTAGATTTTTTTTAACGTTAAGTCCCTTGGCTGCTTTTCCTTGTTCATCATGCAAGGATTTTGACAAATTGGCCTTCTTTATTTAGTAATAGCATAAATAAGTGTGTGCATATGAATAGTTTGCCTCAGATCTGTACAAAGTCTCCAGTTAAAACAGTTTGCCCATTTGAATTGGAGCCTTTCTCTTTGAAAGGAACTTTATTGCTTTTCTCCGTAGTGAGTGTCAGAGAGATGTCCCAGTGCTTTTCGTCTGGGTGTCTTGTCTTTTGGGCACACTTCCTTTGCCCCAACAATATACCTAACTTCGGTTCCTCCACTGAGAGTTAGATGTTTGGGCAAAAGGGCTCCAGGCATTGTCACATTAGCATGTAAACTAATTCCACAAATGTTTGCATGGGAGATGGATTTCAGATTCGAAGGAAGAGCATTTCTGTGTTCTGTCAGCCCTCTGCTTATCAAGGCAGAATTTTGCTTCTGAAAGCAAAGATAGCCAGTGTTTTGAGGGTGTTTTTTTTTTTCCGTTTTGTCCTCCCTGGTATCCATTACAACCCTGAAAATTCCTGCTCAAAAATTACCAAGGGCCACATTATCAGCAGAGTTACAAAAAGTCGGTCTCCCTCCCTCGCTCTCTTCTTAAAAGTGTCACTCAGCTCCTTGCAGGAACAAAATGTACCAGTGTCATTTTCTGTTCAAATAACTCTCCTGCAGGAATCATAAACTTCTCCTCTGGACCTGAACAAAATATCTGTTGCCTTTAATGGAACTCTTTTTCTTGCCAGAACAGTCACCCTTCCTGATTTACTGTTCAATCTGTATGAAAAACTTGAGTGACCTAATTCTGCTTCAATTTTCTGAGCTCGTGAGGACACTAAATGAGCCTCCTGCAGTCAGGCAGTATTACGGCTGTTGTTGTTTCGACAAGTTGAGAATCCTGAATCTCTTTATCGGGCAACCTGCTGAATCCCATTGATAGGAAGATGAAATTGTCGGGAGAGAAGCATTATTTAAAATGAAGATTTCCATTAACAACTACCACCACCAAAAGACAACTTTTTCTGTGTTAAAGAAGCCCCTCCTGTACCTTGGCCCCCCACCCCCACCCCCCACATGCTGAATTGAATGCATATAATGTCACCCTCCCCTTCCCCTATACTTCTCACGTTTGTACTCTGTACTTCTTGTCTCCCTTTCATGAAAAAGAGATTCTTTTGTGCTGGGGAATCTGAGATTCACTGACAAGTGACTAGGTCCTTTGGAAAGGAGCAGGAAATCACCCACTGCAGTGCCCCAGTCCCCCAAGGCCGCATCCACCCCCAGTCCCCACCTCCCTTCTCCCCCCCTCCACTCCTCAGCTCCCACAGATCAGTGTGATTTAATCTCTACACTGTCGGTCCAGCTGTCCTAAGATTATTTATTTAGTTCTTCAGAAGATTAAAGGAAACACAGCTATTCCTTTAATTTAGCACCTGACCCACTTTGTCAAGAGAGTAAACCAGAACAGCAGGGGATGATTTGGGTTCTGGGCTTTTCAAATGCAAAAGGTCTGAAATGACTAGAACCAAGGAAGGAGAATACCCCATCATTGGCCCTCATCTCACCCCTTTATATTTAATTTTCCTTTTACTACAGCCTGATTACAAAAGGGAAATTGTTTCATTTAGTTACTTCCTTTAAATTATATATTTGAAAAAATCCACAAAAGGTTTTTCTCTTGATATCTTAATTGTTAAGATGCATCATCTGTTGCAGTATTTGGAGATTTGGGGCTATGTGGCTATTTAGGAAATTGATCTGGATACAATAAAGTAGGAATCTGTTATATTATTTTCAGTTAAATCAATGAAAAACAATGCATTTCCTTTATTACCATTAAAATTTTGAAAAAGAGGACATTTTACATTTTATTCCTCTACCAAGGCAAATAACGAAGTTGTTTTTTGTGGGGTTTTTTTTTTAAACAATCATTTTGATATTTGGACCATATGAAATCCTAAGATATTTTGCACATCTAAGTCACAGATTTTACTTCTTCATATTCATATATATATATATATATATATACACACACACACACCCACACACACATCATCGTAAAAGCTGATGAAACCATAATACTAATTTTTAACAGAATCTTAAATGATCAACGTTTATAGTAGAGATCCAGGAAAGTTCTCAGCTAGTCTATTTTAATTACCCTGTGGTGGTTCAGTGTCAGGAAAGGAGGTTCTGTCTAGAGACCTCCTTTATTAGCTCTGAAGTCAGCGTGTTTCTTCACATCGCCAGGCTTCTGTTTTCCCATCAGTAACAGCACCATTATACCTTGAGGGGGGTGTGTGTGTGTGTGTGTGTGAGAGAGAGAGAGAGAGAGAGAGAGAGAATGAATTAGATAAAATTGTGCATCAAATGTACTTAACGCAGTGCAGTTCATGTTAACTTAGTTTAGCTTACTGTCTTTTTTATTACTATTCTTTCTTTTGAAGTCTCTTCCAAGACGGTTTTGCCCCAAATTTTGGAGAAGATAGTTCCCAAAATAGATTTAAATGGCATATAATTATTTGCAAAAAAAAAAGAATCCAGGTGAACTCTAGAACCAGGCGTTTCTGTGAGTAACAGTCCTGGTATTCCAAATGAATGAAGAAAGTGGGATGTCTCCTATTTTCCCTCATGAGGAAATTACCTGCAATTATATTTTTGATAGTGTCTAAAGTGAGAATCCCCAGCAGTCCTTTTCTAGAAACTCCCAGTTTTTAAATGCTGTTTACTTTGCTAGTTGCTGCTGCCCCGAACCTGATTTTTAAAAACGCCTAAGTTGCCTTTTCTTTCCCCCAGCAAGCATTGCTCAGAGAGGAAGTGGCTGTGGTTGGAGGGCTCTCTCTGAATGTTTTGGGTTGGCCGATTTCTGTGGCCTCAGCATCTACAAGTGCTCCTGTTCTCTCAGCTTTAAAGCCGTCATCATCAGCATCTTGGCAAGGCGGGCAGACGGCCCCGTTGCCGTAGGACAGAACCCGAAGTTGGAAAGGAGACTTTCTGCCCGCCTGCCAGTGGCTGCCTGGGCTTTTTGGAGCAAGTCAGAGTTTCCTGCCTCTCACTTTCTCTCTCTGTTCAGAGCGAGCAGTGGCACTTGATGTTCCTCCTACATGTATCATGAGCCTTTTTTCCTGGGTGTTAGAGAAAGTTTATGTCCAAGACCAGAGCGTTAAGCAACATATAGCACCTGTCTGCATTAATGCAACGGTGGCTTTTCTCCGTTTAACATCAGAAAATCTGGTTGGGTGTCAGAAATCAGCCATGAGTGTCTGGGATAGGTTTTGCCATGAACTTGAACCTAGTATTACTGTTTGTCATTTAAGACTGAACTGTAATGTATATTTCCATCTCTCCCGCCCCTGTTTTACTATCTCCCTTAGGCTCCAGGCTCGCATAGCTCACAGGATACAAGAACTGGAAAACCTGCCTGGCTCTTTGCCACCGGATTTACGAACCAAAGCAACCGTGGAACTGAAAGCACTTCGGTTACTCAATTTCCAACGTCAGGTATTACCTTTTCCCCAGCAAATCTGAGGCGGAAGAAATGAATGTAATTGTTGGAGATCGGCGTGTTTCCTTAAGTCTCTTCAATATTGTTATAAAGATAGAAACTTAGTAACATCGTGTATCTTTCAGACCAGCAGCAAGAGCTAAAAGCACTGAAGACAAACTGCTTATTATTCTGTTTTTCTCGCCTGTGTATCAGATACATTTTTTCCCACCTGCAGGATGGTTTACAAAGTCAGAGTTATGGTGGTTTGTTATCGTGGACGAAACCTTGAGAACAAATGAGATAGCTCGTATTTGCCCTTATGACTCCCAAGAAAAACAATCACGTGGTAGATGAGAGCTTCTTTGTAAGCACCAATGTATAATCCTAGCATGACCGGGAACATATTTAACAAAGACAATCGCCACTCTGCTATTAATAGTCCAGCATTTATAGAAATACATAAACCTGTGTCTTGTAACTTGATTATTCACCACAACACAAGTTTGATGCATTTGATCCTGTCAGACCTAGGCACTGAGTAACCAATGAGTTATTACCTATTGTTCCTGCTATGGTTCATAGTAGTCACTGATTAATAAACACTGGCATAATGATCCGCTTTAGAATTGCCAAATCAGTAGGACACCAGTGGAATGACATAGAGCTGATTTTCACTTTGGTGAGTTTTGTCTTAAGGACCCTGTCTGCAGGTCTTCTGGTCTGCAGGCTGCCTCATTTAGCCAAACGGGAAAAGGGGCACTTTCCTATCAGTCAGATGGGTTTGCTTGGTTAAGGCCCTAGGGCAGTGATGGCGAACCTATGACACGCGTGTCAGAGGTGACACGCAAACTCATTTTTTTGGTTGATTTTTCTTTGTTAAATGGCATTTAAATATATAAAATAAATATCAAAAATATAAATCTTTGTTTTACTATGGTTGCAAATATCAAAAAATTTCTATATGTGACATGGCACCGGAGTTAAGTTAGGGTTTTTCAAAATGCTGGCAAGCCGAGCTCAAAAGGTTCACCATCACTATCCTAGGGCATGCAAAATGAGTTACTAATGAATGAAAGTGAATTGCATGACTTGATCTATTGGAGGATGTGATTAAAATCACAAGGCCACCTCACTTGCTATTGTCATATGACCTTGGGAGTACATTTGCCTGATCTATAATAATAAAAGGGTAATATGCTAATAGACTGGACATCTTCCAGATGTCATTCCGGACATCCTTCCTGACAAAGCTGGGGCTGGAGGGAAGCCAGCCCGGGTCCCTGGTGCCTACGGGTGGCCCCGAGGGAAGCCAGTCAGGGTCCCGGATGCCAGAGGGAAGCCAGTGCTGGCAGCTGGGGGAAGGAAGGCCTACTCTTGCATGAAAATTCGTGCATTGGGCCTCTAGTTGGTTATAATATCATCAAGGGGCATCAGTGTGGCTGGGTGCTGCTTGGTCATAGGTTTGTGAGAGTAGATTAGAACTTAAAAAAAATTTTTTTTAGAAATTAAAAAAAAAAGCAAAGAGAGAAAACGTCTCTGAGTTCCATTTTCTTCCTTCTTATAGGTGACTTCATAAAATGCATTGATGAAGTGTTTGATAAGATGTTGTTTAAAAAATATTACCGAAGTATATTTTTAGGAATAACATTATATTCAAATTAGCTTCACGATGCTAGACTCTTATTAGTCTCTGATTTTTGCTTGATATTACTGAAAAATTCTATTATCTAAGAAGTTTCCCAATGAAATGAGCTGTAATTCATGCTGATTTCAGATTCAATTGAATTATTATTTTGATGTATATTTTCAATTTCCACCCTCTATCACCACATAACATACAAAATGGATAAGTTATTATACTTATGATCACCTAAGAAAAGTTCGTGATATAGTTTAAACTTTGAATATCTTTCAAAGAATATCATTGTGAGAATTGGGAAGAAGCCCAAACTTGTATCTCTTGTCTTTTAGGTGAGACTATGAATTAACACTGTTTGAGTATCTGCTGCCATTGTCCATGAGCAGGAAGTAATCCTTCTGTTCATTTTGCAGAGCATCGTTAAAGTTAATCTTTTTAAAAACGAGGAGCCCGTTAGTATGGCATTTAAGACAAAGTAAAAAAAAATTAAATCTTATTAACTAATTAGTATCATTGGAATAATTAAATAGGATGAATAACTTTATTTAAAATATCTATTTTTTTAATGTTGTGATGCTATTATTGCTTCTTTTCTTGAATTATTTGTAAAGAAAAGCTATGCCATCTTAAAAAGCCATGCCACATAAATTTGGCATGATTTAGTCCCTTTATTTACTAAAAAGGCCAAGTGTGAGTGAGAAACCTGTAGAAACCCCCTTCTGCCCCACTCAGGGGAAACGAGAGAAGGAGAACTCGGTCAGGGGTCTGGCCACTGCACAGGGAGCCTCTCTAACTGCTTTCCTCCCGCAGCTGAGGCAGGAGGTGGTGGCCTGCATGCGGCGGGACACGACCCTCGAGACGGCCCTGAACTCCAAAGCTTACAAGCGGAGCAAGCGCCAGACCCTGAGGGAAGCCCGCATGACGGAGAAGCTGGAGAAGCAGCAGAAGATCGAGCAGGAGCGGAAGCGCCGGCAGAAGCACCAGGTACCACGGCCTGGCTCTGCCTGTCCTCGTGTTTACAGACACGTCCAACTCAGTAACCGGCTGGAGCAGAAGGGCTGGAAACGTGCGTGGTGGGCGGAGGGGGCATCACAGAGCAGAGAAGTCCCTTGGAGCTTACATAGTCTCCATTGTGTAGTCGGGGACACTTAGGCCAGGTGACTTGGGCTTTCTTTGTTCCAATCAGGTGTCACCTTCCTATTCCCCTGGAAAGCTGCAGTCTGGGTGGGATTCCCACAGCAAAATCCTGGGGAACTTGGAAAGAAGAAAGCAAAGAGTTATTTTTAATATCAGACAAATATGGTGTCCAGGGCTCTGTGATGGGCCCAGTTGGAGGTTTTATAGGGGCAGATATTTAGAAACATTCCTTTCTAGGGGTTTGGAAATATTTTGATGTCGGATTTGATTTCCTAAGCCTATCTATAATTTATTTGTCTTTTTGTGCTCAGTTTAGTGCCTATCCTAGGTTCGTTTTAAAAAAATGTCAGAGTTAGTGTACATAAGGATACACTCCCCTCCCCCATTATTTAAAAAATATGTACCAATTACTTACGGAGCTTTAGCTTCCTATAAAATCTTGAGTCACAATTCTAAGATAGTTAAATTTTTTTTATTGCTTTTTTTAGGGCGAGAGAGAAACATTGTTTTGTTCCACCTATTTATGCATTCATTGGTTGCTTCTTGCATGTACACTGACCGGGGATCAAAACCTGCAACCTTGGGAGTATCAGGCCTAGCTGCTCTGCTGGGACTCTAAGAGATTCAGAGCAGAGGAAACATTACTTTTATAACATAATTCTCACTGGATACACCCATGTCCCTTAGGTTTATTTGAGAACGATTGGCTTTTAATTTTATCATTTTCATTTTTCAGGTTCCTCTCCTTTTTCTTTTTATCCTCTCCATTTTTTATCTTTCCATTTTCATGCGGTCACACCCTCAAAGCTTCAGAGACCACTCTTCCACAGGCTGGCACGAAAATAAACTTTGAGAGGTCATCTCTCCCACCAGCCGGGTAGTTCGCGCTCAGCTATGGAGACACACACCAGGGCCCCGATCCCAGAATAGTCCCAGGTTTCTGATCTTTGTTGTTGTGAAATGCACGTGAAATGCACACTGAGCGTTTTTTTCCTGGAGTGGGCTGGGCTGAAACCTCCAGGGCCTTGGGAAATGGATTTTCAGTATTCTTTTCTACTCCCCTTGGGATCCTTCAGGAATACCTGAACAGCATTTTGCAACATGCGAAAGATTTCAAGGAGTACCATCGTTCTGTGGCCGGGAAGATCCAGAAGCTTTCCAAAGCGGTGGCAACGTGGCACGCCAACACCGAGAGGGAGCAGAAGAAAGAGACGGAGCGGATCGAGAAGGAGAGGATGCGCAGACTGATGGTGAGGAGCCCGGGAAATGCCCGCTCGCATCCTGTACTGGGAGTGTTAAACATGCCCTAGTAGAAGGAGAAAGGAGAAGCTGCTGACCAAATGTATGACCATGTTCCCTTAACTTGATGCGGATGGAGCTCAAACAGCCTCTTTCCTGGACAATGCACATCACACATCTTGGGTTACAGCTGGTCCATATAGTTTTCCCATGTCCTAGGATGGCATTGCTGCTCAGATTTAGCTTCTCACGTAAAGGAAGGTACTGTATCTCTTGGGAGTTTTGATAACCAGATCTGGAAGGCTGGAAATGGCAGTTCTTTTTAAAATACTGCCTCTTTGAGACTAATGGCACACGTTGTTTTGAATGAATAGTTCATTACGTTGTGTCTTGGAACCTGATGTCTTTTTTTTATGGCAGAAATTTTTCTCTAACAATGCAAAAAGTGATTGTTTCGTTAATTTGGAAATGTTGCTTTTTGTTTATAGCAGCGGGAGGGTATTGTCAGAGGTTAGTCAGGAGTTATTATTTTTGCACTGTTATTTTTCAGTGAATGTATATCACAGAAGAGATTGATTGATTTCATTGGTCGGCATTTTTTTTTCTTTTTGTAATCGGACCTCATACAACACTGTGGGTTTTACACAAGTGTGTGTGATCTGGAGTGCTAGGAGACCTGCAGGTTCTGTCTGGGACATAGCTCCCGAGTCCTGCATGAAGAGAAAGTTATGAACCTCACCCTATAATTATGTCCTGGGGGAATTCCAAGTGACAGTGTCTTTCTTCCTCGTTGATATTAAGGTTTGCATTTTGTTTTCATTGATTTTGGGGGTCCCAGAGAGTAAACACCATATTTTAAAATAGGTCCTACTAAATCTTGCCATCTTCTCCCGCCTTCCTCTCCTTTTGGGGGGAAGAAGAAGACTGCCCAAGAAATGTCTCATTAGCGCGGGAGACTGTTTCAGAGGAATCTGAGCAGTCGGCAGTCAGATTTGTCTGATTCAACCGACGTGAAGCTGTATTAGCACTTCAGTAACAGATTGGTTTGACACTAATGATTAGGCATTTGCAAATCATTAATTTTTGCAATTAAATGATGGAATATACAGATAACAGAGAAACTGAAGTTTTCTATCACTCTTTCTTCAAGTGAGATCAACCATAACGAAAAGCAATTAGAGTTCTAATAGCATTTGAGGTTCGTGCTTATCCACGGGGCCGACAGCAGCAAGACTGAGGGGTGAGCCTGCTGTCACACGGGCACAGGCTGGAGCGACACCCCTGAGGAAGGCACTGGGCCCTTCTGTAATGCAGCCGCCTCCTGAGGCGTTTGCGGCCTGTTCTCTCTATCCTGTGTCACAAGAGGAAAATATTTTTCAGGTTTCCTTTTATTGGGACATAAACAAAAGATTTCTCCTGAAATGGCGCAGAGTATATCAGAGCTTTTACCCCATTTAACCTCATAATGTGGCTGAATGGGAGGTGGAGGTGGGAATTACTGCATCTGTGTTATTGTTGGGTAGTATCAGACGTCAGGTAGTAGCTGACTTGTCCCCAGTCACGTAGGCCCAAAGGACAGTGCCAGTTATGACAAAAATCCCCCAAATTTGACCTCCCCTATCAACCACAATGTGTGTAATGCTTTTACGTATAAGAAGTTATTTGTTCAGTGCCCATTTGATTATTTTGCCTTTAGAAATACTCATTCTCTCCACTTTTGATCGTATTTGAAAATTTCCCACATACAAAGTTAAGAATAAACTTGAGATGGTGAATTGTCTGATTTTAACATTTTTGTGCTGTTAAAGAAACACAGAACCAAGAGCCGACGCAGCGTGCTCCATCACACCACATAAATACTGCGGCCCTGTGTCCTGACTTGGCCGCGAACCCCGGTGTCCCGGGATGTAGGCATCGCTCTCCCCTGTGTGTGCCCGGTCCCCTGTGTGTGGGAACCCTTGCAGCCTGGAGCATTCGCTCTGCTGCACTCACCACTGGAGTTCAGACTGCCAGGGGGAGGGGAAAAAGCATCTGCAAACTGTCATCAGGCTCTGATCTGGCTTCTTTCCTTAACAGGCTGAAGATGAAGAGGGCTACCGAAAACTGATTGATCAAAAGAAAGACAGGCGCTTAGCTTACCTTTTACAGCAGACCGATGAGTATGTGGCCAACCTCACCAACCTGGTCTGGGAGCACAAGCAAGCCCAGGCGGCCAAGGAGAAGAAGAAGAGGAGGAGGAGGAAGAAGGTGAGTACCCACTGGAGGGACCAGTTCCACGCATGTATTGCTCTTTAATATATACACTTACCACACGAAGAAGAGGTTTAGATCACTGGGTTGCAGAAATTGCTCCTATAAATGGGTATGGTGTGAAAGAGTTGATCAGGCATACTAGAAATTGGAGATGAGGGTGTAATGGGTAGGAGTTATTAAACTGTAACAATGTGGTTCATATGCCCATTGTTTCACACAGTATTTAAAAACTAAATACACATCATGTTCAGTAAGAAGAGAGAAAACACAGGCACAATGAACTGTTTTCCTAATTGTGATGTCGTGCGGCAGTGTGCTCAGCTAAGAAACTAAAGTGAAAAGTTAGGAGAAATTGCAGTGTACAGATTGAAAGAAACCATAGAAAGACATAAGAGATAGCTTTGGGATACTTTTGGAACACATTTCAGCCTGTTTATTTGGACAGCCAGCAATGCCAGAATTGTTCATTTAGATCAGCAGCCCTGTGTCCCACTCAGGGAAGTGTGCAGGTCAGGGTTTCAAGTGATGTTGGAAAACAAGACTCTTAGGTAAAATATGTCCTAATGGTCATGAGAAGTGAAAGGTAAGATATAGAATTTCTGCTCTACAGATACTACATCCCAACTCAAGGGCAACATGCTAGTGTAGGCCTGCAATATAGCTCTTCTCTGAGGCTTAAGTAGTCTGCAAACAGCTCTTGGTTGATGTTTTGTTTCCATGGTAAATTCTAATTGGCCCGGATACAAGCAGGATGTCTTCCTCAGAATTGGGAAGATTGAGGAGGGGTAGCATTTAATTGTTTATTCTCTGCACTGAATAATTGAGCAAAATATTTTTCCAAAAATAATTAATTTCATGGCTCCTGAATTCTCATACCTGTTTGTTAATGAAGGAGGGGCATGCATGATTGAGAAGGTGCCTGCTTGCTCCTGATCCCTGTAGTAGAAGATAGCTTCCCTTCTGGTGAAGATGCATGAGGGGTGTCTCAGGGCTTGGGTTTAGATGTTTCTGTGGTGAGGAATACCTCATTTTCTTGTCAAGGTAGCATTATAGACTTTGCAAAATTGCAGCTCCAAATATTTAACTTAAAAAGACACTTTCAGAGTTAGTGAAGAGCACACAGGCAAACAGATACAATTCTGTAATACTAGGGCCCCAGTGCACAAATTCGTGCACCTTGAACTGTGGGCTGCGGTGGGCACAGGGGTGGGTCTCGGCCCATCCTCCGTGCCCCTGCCCGGCCCCTCCTTCTGTGGTCCCCGGTTCCCTGTCTGCCAGCAGCCCCACTCCCGCTGCTGCCACTCCCATGCCCTGACAGCGCCAGCCCCGCTCGCACCCACTGACAGGCACGGAGCGATTAGGGCTGGCGCCAGCAGCGGGTGCAAGTGGGCCAGCGCTGTCAGCAGTTGCGAGCGGCGGCTGCTGCCCCAAATGCCCCTCAGGAGCGTGGGGAGGTGAAGAAGTCTTCAGGGGTGATCGGGGCTGGCAGCAGGTGCAAGCGGGGCCAGTGCCAGCAGTGGGTGTGAACGATGGCTCCAGCGCCGAAAGCAGGTGCGGGAAGCGGCTGTCAGCCCAATCGCCCCTCAGGAGCAGAGGGAGGTGGAGAAGCCCCGAGGGGCGATCGGGACCAGCCGCCACTGGCACCCACTGATGGTGCTGGGTGATCGGGGCGGCAGCAGGTGCGAGCAGGGCTGGCACCCGTAGCAGGTGTGAGTCCTGGGTGCGACTGCTGGAGCAAAGAATTTTCAGTAACCACCAGAGGCTCACCTGCTTTGGTCCGGTGCCCCTGCTCACCTGCTCCACCATCCCACCATGGCCAACGCCCTCCATGTTCCACATTCTGCTGCCTGCTGCCGATGCCCGCCGTGTTCCGCACACACTTGCCCCCTGCTGGTCAGTGCACGTCATAGCAACCAGTTGTTCGGTTGTTCCACCGTTTGATCTATTTGCATATTAGCCTTTATTAGCCTTTTATTGTATAGGATTCCATAAGTGGACCCCATGAAATGGCAGCTGTAGTTTTTCTGAATTTAGTCATGGATTTTGCAGAGATTGTCACAGAAAGGTCACTGTTAGCATTTTTAATATTAATGTTTGTATTCTACATTTCTTTGTGATTAAAAACTAATGGCCCAATTCTGGCTTGAAATTAATAGATTCCTGCCATAGTGGTAGATCATTATATCATTGTAGAAAGATACATAGTTGAGTGATAATGATTATGGCTTTATTTTTGTGTTAATCTATACAGAGCATGAACCTGTCATATTTTTCATTTCACGACTCTGATGATCTCTAGGTTGGCTCTCTACCTCCAAACTCTTGCCTTCCAGTTTGCTAGTAGCACTTATTCTCTTTCCTGCATTTGCTCAATGACTGTTACCTGAACACTTACTATGGTGGAGATGCAGTGTGTTGGATGCTGGGAGAAGGAGAATGTAATGGTGAAGATAGCACTCTTGCCCTCTCAATTTAATCAGAGAGAGAGAAAGAGACAGACAGACAGACATTAATCAAATATGCATCTAAATATATAATTATAATCTGAGGTGAATGAGGTGAAGGAATAATGCCAGTCAACAATTTCCTGATTTCCTGGCAAATGAATAATAATAGCCAAGCACTGCAGCCTGCCTTGTGCTATCTCGGGCACCTCCCATTGATGATCTCACATGGTTGAAGATGCAAACTTACCCTTGATGAACAGCCCTTACCTCTTCGCTGCCGTGCTATCAGGATGCCTTGCATTTGGGCCCTCTCTGCTCTCAGCGGAACTAAGGATCACCTTCCTGGGCCATCTTGCTGGCAGAAATGGGATAAAGCTGTATCTTTCACGGGGCTTTGAGACTGAGTTTAGAGTGAGTTACCCAATTCCAGATGCACCTCTACCAGTGCAGAGAAAGCGCGTGCTTTCAGAAGCCGATGGTTGGACACTTGGTATGACCTGTGGTTCTTTCCTCCACTAGAGTGAAGGATTGAGAGTTACTTGTTGCAGTTTCTCTGGCTGGAAGGAAACTGCATTTGGAAGCTTAAAAATTCTGTGCTGTCCCTTTCAGCATTTTCCCATAGGACTGACATGCTGAACCTTACTGCATTTTTTTAATTAGGAAAGGCATCAATAAATCTTTGCTTTGAGGAAACCCTTTCTGACCCAGTGAACTAATAGCATCGAGCTGGTAGCAGCATTTGTAAGAACTTCAAGAGCTGTGCTATTAAAGTTGAGTATGATTGACCTTGTAAGGTAATTGGAAAAGGGTTACTTTTTGCTTTGTGTTAAACTCAGTGTATAATTTTTTAAAATAGCCCCCGTGTAACAGAAAAAACCTTTGTTTTTCCCCATTAGGAGTATATTGTGTTTACTTGTTGTTAGTGAATAATAGAGTGGGGTTCCTTTAACCTGCCATGACCTTGTTTAATTTCCTCTTCTCACTGTTAGAGCCATTTCTATGAAGTACGTATTTATAAATTATTCTGAAACTTCTCCTTCTAAACCTGGTCTTCCATTAATACCCTTGAAATGGAAGAAAAAGAAGTAAACTGTATATATCTGCTTAAGAGTTAGAGGAGGAATAATTGTTAAAGCATTGAAATACCTCTGCAAGGGGGCAGGATGAAGGCACTGTTACGTGCACTTAGCGGGACCTTGAGGCTTCTGACCTTTGCCATGCCTATTCTCTAACATCTACTGAGTGACTGACAACAGGATAAAAGCGGGGAGGGGCTAGATGAAGCCACAGGGGTTTATACAAACATAGGATTGAACAGGCTAATTCAGAAAATTGGACCGCTCTCCAAATCATGTTAGCACACAATCTTTTAAATCCATAACTGCATAAGAAAACATATCAGACCAATTTGTTCTTATTCCTTACTGGGTATTTCATTAAAAGATCTGTTTTCTAGTACTTCAGTCTCTCGATCTATCAGAAGGTGATTGATTGGTTAGGATTGAATGGGAAAGTTTCTCTAAAGAATTTTCTGTGTTTCCTGGCACATTGTAAGTACTCAGTAAATCTTAGCTATTTTATCAAGCCATTTTGTGGTAAATGTAGGATCATGGTTACTGAAATGTAGTTGTAGGGTTTTGAAAAGAAAATCTTTCCCCCCTTTACTGTATATTCTCTGTGATGTTGAGTAAATAGCCACCATTTTTTTTTTCTGGTCAAGGATCAATCAAATATTGCCTTTTTGGGTAATGACAGGTTCTTACACTAGTGAGGCCTACAGTGAGAAAGGGGATTTATTAATTTGGGTGAATCCTGCTTATCCCTCCCCAGCTTCTGCAAAGAGAATTTGTAATTATGTGGCCTCTGATTTAGAGTAGTTTTTGGTGACAATAAGGCATTTCTTGCAAGGTTTTAGGATGTATTTTTCCTTAAGCTGTGGTTAGGAGTCTATGCCACCTGTGACCTGAACCTCCTGCTTAAAAGTCTAGGCATTCTTTAGAGTTCAGCTTCCCGAGCTGTGGACTTCAGGCTAGAAATAAATATTTAATTCTGTCTTTCAAATCTTTCAATGGGCCCTGCAGGCGTGGCTCAGTGGTTGAGTGTCAACCTGTGAACCAGGAGGTTGCAATTCGATTCCCGGTCAGGGCACATGCCCGGGTTGCGGGCTTGATTCCGGGTGAGCGTGCAGGAGGCAGCTAATCAATGATTCTCTCTCATCATTGATGTTTCTGTCTCTCTCCCTCTCCCTTCCTCTCTGAAATCAATAAAACTATTTTAAAAAAATCTTTCAATGGGGTGTATACTAGCAGAACTATGTCCTTGTTACTTATTTGTGACATTTCTTGAAGCCCACAACGCTAACAGGAACGCCTCAGAGAATCCGTGGGGGACAGAACTCTGGGCCAGATCATTCTCGTTGTGTGTGGTGTTTCCCTTTCTTTCTGAAACTTCTTTTTCCTCTCTCTTTCTTTCATCAACCACAATCATAAGTAAAATCAGGACCGGTATGTTTTGGAGGGGGAACCTTTCCAGCTATATATTTTATATTATCAATTTCAGAGAGGAAGGGAGAGGGAGAGCAAGAGATAGAAACATCAATGGCGAGAGAGAATCATTGATCACCTGCCTCTTGCATGGCCCCCACGGGGGGTCGAGCCTGAAACCCTGGCAGGTGCTCTGACCGGTAATTGAACCGGGACCTCTTGGTTCATAGGTAGATGCTCAACCACTGAACCATACCAGCCAGGCTCCAGCATAATATATTGATCAATATAGTGATAGGAGATGCATTTTTTTTCTTTTTTAGATATCCCCAAACCAGAAAAGCCTCTTGGTGTAATGTTTGGTAGGAAGAGCATCAAATCCAAAATAGTAATGTTGTTGCGACATTTGTTTTAAATTCAGGTTACTCTGCAGTTCTTCTCAATTCTTTTATGTCTTACATTTTCCCCCCAAAGATGACATAGTTTATTGCAGCTTTTCTCTACAAGGACATTTTCGTAGGTATTTGAGAGGATCTTAGGTAATTCTGGGCACTTGAGTGCAGTGACTGCGTAAAGATAGGTGAACACAATGCCATGGTGATTAGATTTGATTAGTTCAGTGTCGGAAGGGGTGAAAGCAGAAGTTTGGATCCAAGTCCTGCTTAACTGGATCAACCAGTTATTTCAGTCAGAATGTTAGAATTGGTTTTCTCTGCAAGGTACAACCAAAGCAATGTGCAGTTGCCTGCTAATTTGATATTCTTGGGTATTTTATTATTGCCTGATCTCCTATCTGAATGCTCAGTGGTCCACTTAAATGACAATAAAAATAACCCCGTGAATTTCTGAAAGCTTAGGTTTCCATTGAAATGGAACGAGTCTTTAAGAGGCCAGCACATTTGAATGTTGTTTCAGCATAATATAACAACACCTTCTGGGGCTAAAAGAAATTCACTTTATGATATAGATTGTAAATTACTTGGTGTAAAACTGTTTGTTTACAAAACGAGGCTGTTTGTGGCCTGTGTTGTGGTAATCAAAATAAAGTGCCCCATTGCAGTCTATTTTCTTAAGTTCAATTTAAACAGGATTTTCATGTTTAAAGGAGGAATTTCTTTCCCTCCTTGGCCCCATCACTGATTGTTTTATGTAGCTTCTGCAAGGAAGATGGGTAGCCTTGCACACAGCTTTGTTCCTGAACATTTCTAGGTGGAAGGAATGAATTGACATTGGCCTTTGGAATTAGGAACCCGAATTGTCTTTTAGTTAAGAGTAATTTGTTTTATATCCCCTCCCAGGACTAGGTTAATTACATTCCTTTCTACCTCTTTGAGCATAATTAGTTCCAAATTTTTTGCAGGTAGGAAGAAGGTAGTGCAAAGTTCCTTTAGTCCTAATTAATGAATGAACTCCAGTGTTTTGTTTTTAATCAGGGGAAGTACGCTCAGGTCAGTGATACTGATAGAATGTGTTTGCAGTCACGTGATCCAGATTACTCTATGTGAAAATCCCTCAGGCACTAGCAGCCATTTCACCAGGTGCTTAGTCTGTTTGGAGTTCATCTTGAACCCAAAAAAGGGAAGTGGGTTTTTTTTGTTTTGTTTTTCTTGAGGGGTGGAGGGAATAAAATACCAGTTTGATATGAGAACATGGATTTATGAAAGCACACCAACCAGAAACCTTCAAACTGAAAGAATACAAAGCATGATGGGAGAACTTGGCATCTCTTGCCATAGAGTAGACTGCCACCTGGCTTCCACGCATATAACAACGTAGCGGAATTGGTGTAAATACTGTACAGGGCATGCAAGAGAAGTCTCACAGAGCGCCAGTGCAATGAGGAATTGTGAATGTGTTCTTAACCTTTTCACTTGCAAATATTTTGGGACCTAATTACAATGATAATAATAGTTCACTGATCATATGCATTGTTCTTGTTGCTTGCATTCATTCATTCATTCACCAAATATTTACTTAGTGCCCTTTAAATGCGGGTACTCTGGTAGGTGTGGGCATACATAAGTGAACAGAACAGACAGAAATCCATATGAAAACAGCCCTCTGACTACTGTTGTTTCTTTTACATTGTAGAGGTTAATGCTCACATTGTATATTATATGTGACATTGAATTGTATGTATTGAAATAGTGATCCAGTCCTGCAGCAGCTCTATGTGGTAACAGGGACTGTTACTCCCCATAATTTTTTTTAAAAGAGGGAGGGAGGATGGGGACCAAGACAGGCACGATTTGCTCAAGGTCATACAGTGAAGGTCTCTTGCACTTAGTGACATAGCTGGGATTCAAATGCAGGTTGTCTAATTCCAGAACCAAGTTTCTTACATGTAATATTACATTGTGCTTCTCAAATTTGATACCTAGTGGAATTATTTTTTAAGTCAGTTTAGAGGATTTTAAGTAATGGAAGGGCCTGATTATGAAGCAGTTTTGAGATAACACGCTTAGTGGTCTCCAGCATATTCATAGAAAAGTATCCTTCAGAGTAGCTTTGATTTTATTATTGATGGTCCTTCAAGCTTTTTAAGGTGCTATTCATTGAAATGGTGATCCAGTTCCACTAGCTAGCTATTGGAAATTGGCTTATTCATTGTCTCATTTGATTTCCTTTGTTGGCCAAATTGGTAGCTCATTTCTGATTTGTATGGGAAGAATGGTGGGATTAATTGACTTTCTCCCACTAATTAAAACAGTTGCCTGAAGATTGTGCCCGAGAACTCCAGAAGTGAAAGCTCCAGGGGTTGGTGGTAGAGATGGTTTCTTTTCTGAGTCTTTTCTGCTGTTGTTCCCTCTATACTTGCAGCCTAGACACAGGGCCTGGTGCTTTTCGATACTGATCATTTCTTTTGAGCTTGTAAACATGTTCACTTTGGGGTGGTTTGAATAGATACTTAAATTCTTGGGAAATCATAACCAGAGGGAGCGTTTTGTTTTCTGTCTTTGGTGCCTCGTGCTTTAGCATACACACCTACACCCAAGAAAGTTATAAGAGAACTTCAGAATTTTCAAACATTTATGGAAACTGCATTTCTTCAGTATGGCCAAAAGGCTGAATTTTAGACATTAAACATTTTCTATAAAAGCTGTTTTGTCAAGAGACAATTGAGTTATTTACATGGAAAGCAAATATGTATTATATAATCAATGCCTTAAGTAAACAAGTGGAGTTAATATTGGTTCTGTATCATTATATATTTTTTTAATTAACTAAAGGGTCCGGGGGAGGAAAGCTTATTTTCTTAAATGTCTTGATAAAGCAAATAACTGAAGTTTGTTTTTTTCTCTTCTCATTATACTGCCCTGAAGTAGTAGTATAGCTTTCCAGCAATAACTTTAAAATAAGTCTTCTATAAAGGTGATGTGAAAGATTTCACTTGTTAAAGAAGTCGCTACAAATGGAAGACAGTTTAGACTAGTTTGTGTATATTACAGATAAGACTCTCTTGGGTATATACAAAATGTGGCATAATCCTAGCTTTCCATGTAGCTGCCTCTGCAGCTCTCAGAGGTTAATGGACTAAGAGATTGGAATATGTAAGAAACAGCAGATGACAGAATTTTTCATGAGATCACAGTATCTGCTTCGGATTTCCCCATATGCCCACTGTGTAAATACTTTCTATTATGAAAGCCCATTGGGTAGAATGAAAAACATTTGGAGAGCTCACAGAATATTATATCATTTTGTATTTTTATGACTCAAGAGTAGTTCAGAGTTTATTCTCAGTGGACATATTCAGAAAACCCGCTAAAGGAATAGGAAAGTTTTGCTGACTGCATCAGGATGTGTCTTCCCAGCGCCAGACCTGAGAACACTGCGGCCTCTGCCCTCTCTCCCTTTCTTGCTCTCGCTCTCACTCTCTCAGGACTGCCAATGCCTTAAGCTCTTTGGATCCTAGAAGACACAACCCACAAATCTCTAGTGTGCTGGCCTTGAATCACACCTGGCTTTCAAGAACGCTCTGCAAGTTGCTAATAAAATACACACTTTGTCTTAGACGGTGAAAACAAGTAAAACTAAAAGGGGATCAATGGGAAAATACACACACACACACACACACACACACACACACACCACAAAGGGGACATCTATGACACTTTCGGCAATAAAGATAAATAAAAAATAAATAAAAAATGAAAGGCATGAATATTAAGCTTCGTTTGGTGAGGGTGGGAGGGTGGGTAGTAATGCAGCGCTGTGACGTACCCCAGAGTTACCGCGAAGCCCTTCCTGTCCCCAACCTCTGGGCTGCCCCGTGACATGTGACACCTTGTCGTTTCACAGAAGGCCGAAGAGAACGCAGAGGGAGGAGAATCTGCCCTGGGACCAGATGGAGAGGTAAGGGATTTTGCGTCCATTTCTGCTGTGTTCTGCGCAGTGAGTTCCTGCCATGCCTTACCACACACGTCATTGTCTGTGTGCTAATTTTATTGTCACTCAGCCACTCATCTTTAAGCGAAGAAGAGTAGTCCATTAGCATAGTATAAAAGGGTTACACGGGAAAGTAATCTACTTCCTTCTCAGACTACCCATCAACTGATGTTAAGTTTCTTATGTACCATTTGAGAATTGTCTGTGCACATATGAGCATATGTTTTGGAATACATAGAATGTGTAAAGTCTTAAGTGATTCTATAATTACATTTGCCCAGTAAATGATACAGGAGCATAAACAGTGAGCCAGCTTCCTTAGTTTATTACTAATTTGAAATTATAATACTCCATAAGCCAACCAATTAACATATTTGGTTAACTTATTCTTTAAAAAGTATTATTTTTATTTATTTCAGAGAGGGATAGAGAGATAGAAACATCAATGATGAAAGAGAATCACTGATTGGCTGCCTCCTGCAGGCCCCACACTGGGGATCGAGCCTGCAACCCGGGCATGTGCCCTGACCGGGAATCGAACCATGACCTCCTGGTTCATAGGTCAATGCTCAACCACTGAGCCACGCTGGTTGGGCTTGTTAACTTATTTTTTTGACATCTTCTGTAGGCTTACAATGTAGCTTCTATTTGTCAGTTCATCAGCATGTTCCTAATTTTTTTTCTAGTATTTCCAATAGTCTCGTGAATCATGAGAATACAGTTATTCATTTATTGGATTTTTTTTCCCCCTCTGAAAACTCCAAGTTCCCTGCCTGCAATTCACACGAGGAGGCATACTCCCGGAGCAGGATGCGGAGGGAGCGTGCTTCAAGCCTCTCGCAGATTCACATAAACCTGCTCGGAGGTTTGGGTGGGTGGAGGGTTGCCTCTTCCTGTTCTAGAATCACTGCACGTGAGACATATTGTGAATGTGAGCAGCCTGGATGCAGGAGAAAGGTTGGAACCACCAGCCTATGCAGAAACCCTTTGAACAGTAAATGTTGCTTAACCGCTGTAATCCATCCCTAGGAAAGAAGGGTCGGGATAAATGTCTGATGTGTGAGAAATTCTCCGTGGGCTGTTAAGGGGGAAGAATACTCTATATGAGAGCACTTGGAAACGCTCTAATTTGTAAAAGCCCAGCCTGACCTAAGCTAGCCTCACATCAGTCTGTGACTAACAAGCACCGGGGAGAGATGTAACATGTTACTGCGAGAGCACTTTATCTCTTATCACCTCTTGGGAAAATTACCTACTGATCCGGGGCCTGTGACATACACCTTTTTTTTTCTCCTTTAAATCTCAGCACATGCGTGCTCTGTGTGCTGCAGTGGGCGAAGCGGACCTCTCGCTCAGGCTGTTTTGAAATAAGTTTCCTATTCCACTGATGTGCCACTCATTCAGTGCTTCTGCCACAGTCATCATTCCAGCTGGGGGGCCCCCAGTGTTCTCTGAGGCATGACGTCTGAAGCAGTCGGAAGTTGTGTTATAGTAGTTCAAGATCACGGAGTACGGCTCTTCCGTGGGAGATGATAGTAAATGGTAGATTTCCTTCTCTGCCGTGTGAGCATGCAGGTGACCTTTCACATTAATGAGGAAGAAGTGCCATCTTGGCATATAAAGTAATGGTGTTCACCACCGTGCGGCCTTCGCACACGTACAGGAAGAAAAACAATGATAGCTAGGGTGAGCCTTTTCTCTTTTCAAAGGTTATTTTTGTGGATAATTGCTGATCTATTGTGTCTTATTCTGACAGCACTTAGAGGGAAAAGAGGGGAGGTTCGTTTCCCATTAGATTTAGACAGTAACCTAGAGTACACTATTTTTCCTGTCATTTTTATTTAACTCCAAATAAGAATAATGTAGAAGAAAATGTTTGGAACTAATGAATAGTCTAAACATTGGATTTTGTAACTTTTATGGAGATAGATAACTTGAAAGACTCGCAGGCCAAGCATTTCCAAACAGACATCTTGCCTGGGGCCTGTCCCGGAAGCATAATCCCCTCCAACTCGTAGCAGTCACTTGGGTTGGGGAGGATTACTCCACCCTTAGGCCTCATGAAACAGTGTATTCTCTGAAGTAGGTTCAACGCAGCCTCTCCAATAACATTGATTCGCTTAATTTTTGGAGCAAGCCATTTTTCATGGAGAGTCTGATAATGAACTTCCGCTCAGTCTATTCTGCAGACTTCAGATGCACGGAGCTTTCGGCTTTATCACACGCCCAGCTACCAATGGTTGGTCTGGTTACCTGGTGGTTTGGTTTTGGGTCAAGGACACTGGTTCTGCTAAGCCATACCAGCCAGTAATGAGATGATACAAGTTACATGGTTTTTTCTTTCCCCATTCTCTCTGAAACCGTAAGTTTGCCCTAGTTGTTTTCTGAGGGGAGGTGTTATTATTTGGGGGCTGAGGTTCTTCGTTGCAAATGACAAAAATCATCTCTGCCTGATGGGAGTAGCAAGGGAATGTATTAACAGGATGTTGGGTAATTCATCAGACCTCCAGGAAGCCTGGAGAGCCGGACTTGAAGCCACACCTGGTGTTATACACACAATGGTCAGTGTGGACGTGGCTGATGTGGGAGCAGGCAGGAGCTTGGCTCAGCCAGGACCACCGTCCTGGTTCTGCCGCTGCTGGGGTCTGCCCTCCTGCCAGTGTGCCTGTTGGGCCTTGAACTTCTAGCTCCCAATTCAGAGCCATGGGAGTGCATCCATTTGGGGGAGCTGAGGTCTTGTACTGGTGACATTTCCAATCACAAAAAAGGGTTTCAGATGCCGGCAGCCAGAAGGCCGAGAGATGCCGCCCCGCACAGAACTGGGAGAACACCAAAGGGTGATGTGTTTTGTTATTTTCTCTCCTTTCCAGCCGATAGATGAGAGCAGTCAGATGAGTGACCTTCCCGTCAAAGTAACTCACACAGAAACCGGCAAGGTCCTGTTTGGACCGGAAGCACCCAAAGCAAGTCAGCTGGACGCCTGGTTGGAAATGAATCCTGGGTGAGCGTTACAGCAGAATTGTTGGTGTTCTTTGGCTTCATCAATGTTTGTGCTCCTATAAAACCTTGGACCTAAAGCAGTGATGGCGAACCTTTTGAGCTCGGCGTGTCAGCATTTTGAAAAATCCTAACTTAACTCTGGTGCCATGTCACATATAGAAATTTTTTGATATTTGCAACCATAGTAAAACAAAGACTTGTATTTTTGATATTTATTTTATATATTAAATGCCATTTAACAAAGAAAAATCAACAACAAAAATGAGTTCGCCTGTCACCTCTGACACACGTGTCATAGGTTCGCCATCACCGACCTAAAGCAACACGGCCTTTGCTGAAGTGGTTGAAGTTGGTACCTGTGCTTGTCACTCGCACACTGAACATGCTAGTCGAGTCATGCGTGCATACATTGTCTTATAATTCACAGAACTAAGCCCTGTCTCCTTCTCACCCCTTTCCCTGTAGTTACGAAGTCGCCCCCAGGTCCGACAGCGAAGAGAGTGATTCTGATTATGAGGAGGAGGTACGTATGTGCGCCTGAGTTCACTGGTTTGAAAGTCTATGAGGGAAGCGCCTGTGTCCTTCTGTACTTCTGCTTTCAGCACTGGCCTTTGGGTAATGACTGGGGCTGAGGGCTTGCCAAAGCTTTGGTGGGGCACGCCTCGCCGTGCCGTGACCTCTTGGGGGCTCCTGACCAATGGGGAGACTTGGTGAATTCTAAATTCATTCGGAACCAAGGAAGAGAAGCCGTCATTAACTCAGAAGGGCAGACTGTCTTTTGGGGAGAACGGAAGATGGATCACTTTGGGAAAGTCACTCCATGCCTCCAAGTGGCTCACTCAGGGCTCGCTGCCTAAAAATTTCTGAAATTCTTTGCTCCTTAGCATCTATTTGAAATGGAAAGTCCGGGAACTTAGACTAAAAGGGCAACTCGGGCTTGGTTTAATGACTGTATTGATCCTCTTGATTTCCCTTTAAATGTGATTCTTGTTTGAAATCCTTAGATATACTTGTTACCAAAAAGAGAAGCACATTTTTCAGTCTCTTGGAAGGAATACACAATATATCTAGAACCTAAAACAGTAATCTTGTATGCTTTTCATAGAATTATAAAGTAATAAAGGAATTTTCAGATTGATTAGGAAATGCTTAATAATTACAAATAGATTTTAAAAATATTTCCATCTCCTTCATCTCTGTTGTGAGTGTGTGGTCACTGAATGTGATTTTTGCCCGTGTCGAGGAATCCTGGTTCAGAGTGGCCACGGCACAGAGGCCACAGACGGGGCAAAGCCACCTTCCCAAATAGCTCACTGGGGTTAAGACAATCGTTATTTCCTTCTATTGTGTGGACCTAGGTTTTCTAAATTAATCTTCTGTGGACCCTTTGCAAAGAGGAAAAATAAAAGTTATATTTTTACAAAAGCATGCTATTAAAAAGCAAGTATTTTTAGAGCCATGCTATTTTTTTTTTCTTGTAGGCTATTCTTCCTCTGGTATATTTGAAGCTTATAAAATCAGTTTTAAAAATGTTTCTTGTTGACTTGGATACATGGGCCCATAAATAATCTGTTGGAAGAGCCTTCTCATTCAGAGAGCCAGGGAGGGACAGAGACGAGATAAAGTGGACTCTTTAGCCCACGCATGCCAGCCAAGACTGACAGATGCAGGCAGCCCCAATAGCCAGGAATAGAGTAAACTCGCCATCTGGGGCCTGCCACCCACTCATGGCAAGTCCTGTCCCCTCACAGCACTTTGCTTCTCGCCTGGAAAATGAGGAGCGGTGCTGATTCCTCAATTTACCCCCTGCTCTCAATGATCCGTCATCATAGGTCCGATTTTCAGAACTAATATTGTGTCACTTTGTATTTTTTCACTCAAGAATTATGGAAAAACATTGTTCTCTTTAAATCCACTTTTACAGGAAATTCTGTTGGGTTATCTGGAAAGAGTTAGTCTTCCACACCAGTGGTTAGTGGTGGGAACAGTGAATATTTAGTGAAGCTTTCAGACAGCACAGCGGAACGTAGTGCACAATGACAGGGTGGAGAGATGATGAGTCCTGTGGCGAGTTATGGACAGTTTTCATCAAAACATTCAGAAATGCAAGGTATGAAGTACCACAAAGCCACGTGACTACAGGCCTCAGCCCGGACTGCAAATGCCCGGGGCCATCAAAACCCACTGGCCTATCTGAGAGGACATTCTTATGAGTAGGACAAGGCGAACATGTCTAGAGCCCGGCCGCGGAGAGACTGATGTAGAGTGTGGCTACATTGGTGAGAGGCATGTGGTTACAGGACTCTTAGATAACCAAGCGGTGATGTCCCTCTCTCTGGCATGACTGTTCCAGTTTTGTCCTTAGGAGCAAAGGTGCTAGGGGCTCCTCTGAGGGTCGCCTTCATTCTCCCATTGAGTGATTTAAACAGCAGTGGAATGGTGTGTATTGCCCGGTATAGGGAGGTGTTAGATCTACTTCCTCCTTCATTTTATTTACTTCATTTACTTCACTCTTTAGTCTCTTTTTGGAAAATGCCAACCATAGAGATTCACTTGACAGAATGGAATCTTTGTTTCTTCCCAGGATGAGGAAGAAGAGTCCAGTCGGCAGGAAAACGAAGAGAAAATAATTCTGGATCCAAACAGTGAGGAAGTTTCCGAGAAGGACGCGAAGCAGATCATTGAGTGAGTATCTAAGAGTTTCCTTCCTTGCAGAGCATTTCATGACCTAAATTAGGCTTTCGGAGTTTTCTTTTGGAAAATTTGGAGGCAAGAGGCTGACGTTGTGCCCACACTCCACTTGAATCACTGTCAGAAGTCACCACTGGGTTCCAGCCACTGGGCCCCAGGGCTCCGGGCTGCTCCTCTCCCCCTCTGACCTCTTCTCCCTCCTGAATCCCCACCCCCAGCTCCGGCTCACGCCCGGGCTCCGCACCTGTCACCTGCACCCTGCCCCAGACTGACCTGATGACACTGGCCCCTCCACTGGCTGCATCCCCGCCCTTCCTTCCTCCCTCAGTGGCGTCAGCACTCACCCCGAACCCAAGTGAGAGACAGCATTCCCCCTGTCCTTGTTGCCAGCCAGCCAGCCACCAAGTCCCGCCAGGAAACACCCCTCTCCTCCTTCCCCCTCTGCGTGCCCAGCTCCGTGCCGCACCCTGGTCGTCCCCCACATCCGTGGTCTACACAGCTCTCTGTGTGTGTGGCTCTAATATTAAAAGGAAATTGTAATGAAACAGTCGGCAAAATAGAACATTATAAAGTGGTGACATTTAAAAGGAAAAAAAATGAACATTTTAATCTTTCCTCCTTTTATTGCAGGGCTGTAGGCCCCACTTTGTTTATTTTTCCCTTTTTTTCAGTTTATTTTTTTCTTTATTGATTAAGGTATTACATATGTGTCCTTATCCCCCCATTGTTTCCCCCCTTCTGCTCCCCCACTCATGCCCTCACCCCCCTGGTGTCTGTCCATTGGTTAGGCTTATATGCATGCATACAAGTCCTTTGGTTGATCTCTCCCCCTACCCCCGCCCTCCCCTACCTTCCCTCTGAGGTTTGATGGTCTGATCAATGCTTCTCTGAGGAACCTGTTTTATCAGTCTGCCCCTCTCATTGCCTGTAGAATAAAATATGAGCTCCCTAACCTGGCATAGAACGTGGAAGACGACCTTCCTCTTTCCTGTTTCTCATGTTGACTGCGGCCTTCTCTCACCTGCCTCCAAGCCGCGGACTGTGTTCTGGGCATAGGATTTATCCTTCCTTCCCAAGAGCCTAAGGCAGCGGTTCTCAACCTGTGGGTCGCGACCCCTTTGGGGATCGAACGACCCTTTCACAGGGGTTGCCTAAATACATCCTGCATATCAGGTATTTACATTACGGCTCATAACAGTAGCAAAATTACAGTTATGAAGTAGCAACGAAAATAATTTTATGGTTGGGCGTCACCACAACATGAAGAACTGTATTAAAGGGTTGCGGCATCAGGAAGGTGGAGAACCACTGGCCTAAGGCCTTCTCTCACCTGCCCTCCAAGCTGCGGACTGTGCCCTGGGCGTAGGCTTTATCCTTACGTCCCAAGAGCCTACGACAGCTTTACAGGCAAAGTGTTCATCTGCAGGTGTGGCTCACGTTCCTATTGGTCATTGGAGGTCACGCCGGCCTCCATTCAGATCCTGACTCCACTGATCATATGTGACAGGCAAATTCACTCCCCTCTCGGAGCCTGAAGCTCTCCACATGCATAAAACGGGGATGAAACTAATGAGTCTGCCTCTCTCTGGTTTGTGAGAATCACAGATAATGTATTTTAATTGCCAGGCGATTAAATAGTAGGTGATAAATAAACCACACTCACTGCAGCTATTTTAGGCTTTCCATTCATCTTTCTGAATGGATCGAAATAAAAACACACGCACCCAGATGTGTGTGCGTGATCCTCCACTTTCTCCGTCCCAGGACAGCCAAGCAAGACGTGGATGACGAGTACAGCATGCAGTGCAGTGCCAGGGGCTCCCAGTCCTACTACACAGTGGCCCACGCCATCTCCGAGAGGGTGGAGAAGCAGTCTGCCCTCCTCATCAACGGGACCCTGAAGCACTACCAGGTAACCGCTGGGTCTGTGTCTCCTTGGCGGGCCACCAGCTTCTACCTCGTTTGCACTGGAGTGTGTCTCATGGGCGTGTCGATTGCTTAAGAGGGTTGATGAGGAGAAGGCATTCTAGGTCCCCCTGCTTATGGGACTGACATTCTCTCCATTCTGCCTGTCATCCTGCTCTGAGAGCACTTCCATGTTACCATCTCTTCCCCGGGCAACTCTGCTTTCTCTTATGGGGTTTTGGGGTGAATTGTGTTTTAAGAAATCCTGGCTGGCCATCTGGAACCGTTTCATCATGGATGGCAACAGGATGGAAAGCCCAGCCACATTTGACGAGTGTCGGGAACATGTACCTAACTGGGGAGCAAACGAAGTGTTTCTTCGGAAATTGCACTGGTGGCCATAGTCCAGCCACCCAGCAGTCGCTGTCTACTCCATTTACACTTTTATCTTTTTAAGTCTCAATACAGTGGTGAGCATCCGTGCTTTGGTGGAAACCAGGCTGTAAATATAACACATTTCATGTGACCTGTGTGGAATGAGGTCAGCTGCTGTCTTCTCTCTCCTCCCACTTTATAGTGTTTCCCAAAGTGTGTTCCTTGGGACATTCGCCCCTTAGATGTACCTCAGAAAGAAAAAGAAAAATAGGTCCCGTGGTCAAATAAATATGGGAGATAACCACCAGCTGTAATGAGAATTACCATATAATTTACTGTTTCAAACTTGGGTACTAATGAGAGTGATAATAGGGGTCCTTATTATTTATAATAGGCATAACCCAGGACCGTCCTGAGCCATCCAGCCACCTGTGTACCCTGACAGGACACCTCCTGATAGTCCATGCTGTACGTCAGCACATCCATGACTCTATAAATATCAATGTGTAATCCATAACGGCACATCAGTATTATGCAATAAAATAACTAACTTTCTAGTTCTCCGATTTCTTTGACTCCCCAGCCTTATTTTCATATAGCACCTATTAGAAACCACGTGCTTTAGGCCAACTGTTCTCAAACCTTTTGGACTCGGGTCCTCTACACACTTAAAACGCGGCCCTGCATCTGCTGCCGTGGCCGGGGTAAAGCTACAGCGGCTGCCACAGTGCTGCCTTGGTCCCTGCTCCAGGGCCCGCAGTTCTCACCCACTGTTGCTCTTGTATCGCAACATAAAAGGTGAACAATGCCCTGAAGTTACTGTGAAATCGCTGGGCCTGTGGCTCTCCTGGGAAGGTTGGGGGCACCAGGAGCCCGAGGAACATACTTTGACAAGCACTGCTCCGTCTGTAGTGAGGTCACATTTTCCCCAAAGACCGCGCTACTTTCATGAGGTTCCAAGTGCATATCACGTACTTGGTCTGCCCGACGTAGATATTAATTCATAGTATGTTCTGATAAACTGGTACATGTCTGTGTCTGGGAGATGTGTTCTTTGGATTATTCATGAGCAACTCAATGGCCCATGGATTTCTGCTGCCATCCGGTACCTTTCTCAGCACTCGTCCATCCCTGTCCTTTCACACCCACTCCCCCGCTTCCGTATGCCAATGGTGAGCCCTTCTCCTGCACTGGGCGGCTGGAGGTCCCGGATGCCTTGCCCTGCCCCCTGGGTTCTTGTCTCTTGGAGACACTTCTGCCTGATGATCCTTTCCCTTTCTCTCAGACCAGTTCATGTTGTAGCTCCGAGCCTTCCAGAACCACTTGGTCCCCAAGTGAGCTTTCTCTCTTCTTGCTCCTGGACACGTTTTTGCATCATGAACGGTTATGTAACCCTCACATCATGGAGGCCTTCCCGCTGCCTCCTGGAAAGCTGTGGTTCAGTCCCCAGCCCCTCCAGTTTCATGGTCCAACAAAGTACAGTTCATTCCCCACAATTTTAGTGAATTTCTAGTCCCTTCTGCTGCCAGTTTCTGCTTCTGTTTTATCTGGGATTAACACGGATGCAAAATTCAGCCCCTTTGCCAATTTTCATTTAAAAAAAGAATCCACCACCTCCCAGTGTCCAAATGTTCCTGGCCTTCCGTTGGCTTTCCTAGGAGTCTGGAGGCCTTGGCGTCATGTTGCAGCCACGCAGGTCCTCCGAACCACCAGCTGTGCTTCCAGGCCTTTCCTCATGTCCCCTATCTTTTGCCCACTTGCCCAAAGGCTCTTTCCATTTCCCTTCTATTTCTTGGCGTTGCTGTCCTTCGAAACCCCTTGGGATGGCCTGGAGTCTTGCGTGGCACAGAGACTCCAGGTGGCCTCTGAAAGTGGTCAGGCCAGTGCAGTGCTCTCCCTGGGAAACAGCCTGGCCCATACAGTGGCGTTGGCACTCCGGCCGTTTCTTGGTGCGTGTGTTTAGGCGAGTGGCTTATTGTCTCCTCTTTGAAGCTTCTGAAGGGAGGCATACATCTGACACCCCTCGGGGTCCATCTGCCATAGCTCCTTGCATGGCTCCTTGCACAGAATAATCATTTAATACATTTTAAAATAAATGACTTCTTTCTCACATAAAATATATTAAAATTAACATTTTCCTAAGCATGACTGCATGAGCAAGCTAAATTGCCTTTAGCTAATATAAATACAGATATCGATATATATAGATACTGATATCTATCTATCTATCTATCTTTGATCCTACCTTTTAAATCCAGCCCGGCCAGTGTGGCTCAGTGGTTGAGTATCAACCTATGAACCAGCAGGTCACAGTTCTATTCCTGGTCAGGGTACATGCCCTGCCCGGCTTGCAGGCTCAATCCCCAGTGTGGGGCCTGCAGGAGGCAGCCAGTCCATGATCTTTCGGATCATTGATGTTTCTCTCTCTCTTTCTCCCTCTCCCTTACTCTCTGAAATCAATAAAAATTGTGTTTAAAAAAATAAGCAAATCCAGCATTGGTAGTATGAGAGGGAAAGGGAATTGGTATTGGGAGAGGCAGGTTTAACAATTTTGTATTTTCACCGACCTTTCTTATATTTGACGGACTGCAAAGCTGCATCTCGGGGCAGAGCTTTTGTGCTTTACAAATATGTGGAACCTGTTGGTAGGCAGTCAGCTTCCGTAGGCTGCCCTTCGGGAGTGCCCACATAGCGAAGTTTCCATCTGCTGACCCAGAGATGTGCCCCCCCCCCCCC